CTCCCACCCCCAGCCTGGTGGCACGCGGGAGGGTTAATCCTCCTACCTCCTTGATCTGCTGCAGCCTCTCCTCCAGACAGTCCATGGTTTCTTGCTCCTGCTTCAGCTTCTCCAGCCGGGAAATGAGCTCCGCGGCGAAGGCAGCTGGTTCCACCGGGGTCATCTCCTTGGGAAGACGGTGGGTCCTCTACAAGGAGCGGGGACAGAAGGCACAAGGCGCGTTTAGCGGGCGGCGCGGCGGCATCGCCGGCCCCGCTACGCTTGTTGTGTCTCCATGTTTGGATGAAAAGACGAGCGCAACTAGGCATGGTCTGCTCTGGATTTTTATGAGCTAGTGCTGTGGCCTCATGGAGTGACATCCTCCCCACCAGCGTTTGCCTTCGGCAGGAGCAGTTGGTCGCACTCTGAGGAACCCCGCTTGTTCTCTCTGTAGTACAACCAGCCCATCAGTAGCTACTCTGAAGTAGAAAATCTTCAAAGACTGTTGTCAAACATCAAAAAAATAAGAAAAAAAATAAAATAAAAAAAAAAAAACCCTCTGAGGGGGGAGGGAGAGACTTTAACTAAAGGAATAAAGTGAGTATAAACAGAAAGGAGTTGGAAATTAAAAAAAAATAAGATGGGGGAGAAAAAGGGAAAGGAGAAAAAAAAAAAAAAGGAAAAAAAAAAAAAAAAGAAAAAAAAAAAAAAAAAAGAAGTCAAACGGTTGCAGATCAGAGAAGTGCTGGTAATTTATTTCCTGGCTACACACTGGGCACCTTTGAGGTAGTGTTGTCTCAACAGTGTCCTAGATCTCTTCCCCCCCCCTTCCATCTCTTTGTACAGAAAATGAAGAAAGCTGCTGCAGGCTAGCGGTGCTACACTGCTGAGCTTGGCTGCCTCAAGCAGATCTATCAAGGGAAAAAGGGAACATCTCCAAATCAAGTGCAGAATATAAAAAGGCAAAACGCGAATTTCTGCCAAAAGAAGCAAACATGGCAGGAAAAGGGGAGGAAAGGGAAAAAAAGAGGAAAAAGAAACCACCCACTCGACTCTGCCCTCCCTCCTGCCATCCCCACGCACCCCACTCCTCACCCCCACTCTCCCTCCTTCCCCCCCCCCAAAGCAGAAAGCTGAACTGCCAACTCTTTCACATACTACCCACCAGATGAGGTGGGGCCTCTCTCCGGCAACCACTTAGCTCCAGAAATGATGTGAGGGTAGAAAAAGGCCACTCTGCTGGAAATTGTCACTCTTACACAAGCTGGCTCTATTCAGTCCCTGATCAAAGCACTGCCTTACAGAGAAAGTCGATTTGCACGCCCTGGGACAAAATAATCTAATTTACAAGCTCAGGCTATAGAACTTTCTTTAGGAAGGAAGGGGGAAAAAAAAAAAATACCAGAAAGAAAAAAACCACATAAACCACCCCCCCCTTCCACCAGAAATATCATCTATGACTTCTTGCTGCTTAAGACAGCAGAAAGAGGAATTTTAGCATATTAATCTGAAGACAAGATAAGTTTATACTTGTCTGTGTAAACAGTTTATTCACTGCAGGAATCGGGAGTCTCCGAGTCAACGGAATTAGCAAGTCAGCGAGTTAATTTTTGAGAGCAGGGCAAGGGATCCCCTCAAAGCCAGGCAGGGAGCTGCTGCCAGCATCTCTGTGTTGGGAGATCCTGCTCCCTGCCAGCTCAGACACTCAGCTCTCCACGGTCACCAAGCCCTGGTACGCTCAGCACCGCGAAGGTGTCGGGGTGGTGGTCAGAGCCAACCCTCTCACTAGACCCAACCAGAGCATCCCCACTTGGATTTCAACCACTCAGTGCCAACAAAAAGCCCTAACTGCCACCTGGTTCCAGGGAAGGACCAAGATGTGACTGTACCTCAGCAGGTTTTTGGAAGGATGCTGAGAGCACGTGGCTCCCGTGCGACATCAAGCAGCATCTCTCCCGTGACATCACCTTGGGATGGAAATGCTCTCCCCTCCCCTGCTCCCTTCCCTCCACATGTGCCTATTCCCACCCTCAGCATTTCCCAGAGCCCACCCAGACCTTGCAGCTCCCACCTGAACTTACCGGAAAATGAGGTAGAGAAACTTGACCGTTGGCCTTGACGCTTCGATGCATTTCCCGCTGGAGCTGCTTCTTGCTCCCAATTCTGTATGGGGGGATCCCATCTCTGCACATGGAAGAGAGGTCATGATCAGCTTGGGGTTGTCCCCATGCTCTACCTGAGACACCTCTCCATCCTCTCTGGAACCACCCAGGCATGCCCTCGTTCCCAGAGGTGTTGAGCACTGGGGATGTCACCTGAAGCCTCAAATATATGGCCGTGTGGGAAGTACCTGTGTCACCATCTACATGGATACACAGTAATTAAGCAAAAGCTGAAAAGCTGAAGGCAACTCCACATGAGAAGACGCCCCAAGATCCCATCAGCTTCACTTCCAAGGGATCTTGCAGAAAGGCCCTTACAATGCCAGGTTTCTGCTTCTGGCCTTTATTTTTGTTGCTTTTTCCTTACTGAATTACGCTCTCTAGGACCACAATATTCCTTAAGCCCTGAAACACTCCACAGAGTGCTGGCAGAGTGGAAACAAGAAGGAAGAAGCTCAGGATGGATGGACACCCAAAGGCTCTTTGCATCTCCAGCCCTACTGAAGATCCAGGGTATTTCTCCTGCCCTGAGGTTGGCCAGCACAGGACACCTCGAGGCATGAGCATGGCCAGGATGGACCTTCTGGGCAGACACTGCTCCCTGCAGCTACCCCAGCTCCTGGCCAGGAGAGTCCTGGTGGGAACAGCCCCCTGCACAGCCTGCTTCAAGCACCACAGGGTGTCTTCATCCGGCCACGCAAAAAATTACCCCAGTGAGGATTAAAGGGCCTTCTACAGACAGCGGGGACAGCTGGAAGAGCATGCCTGGAGATCCTGAATGTCTAATTCCACCCCTTCCCTCAGACTGGCTGCATAACCTTGATCTCTGGTCCCATCCCTTTCATCCACCTGCCCCCACACCTGACTCATCTCCTGAGTGGAGAAAATAGCTCCAGCCCAAGGAGGAGTGGCGGCGGCTGAGCAGACAGCGGTGGCCCCACGCTGCTGCCAGAGGAGCCAACGTGGCATGGTGTCCCTGCCTGTCCCCTCCTCTGGCCACACACTGACACACAGATGGAGACAAGGCATGTGGGAACACCTTCCTGGACACACCATGTCCCTGCTGTAGAGGAGGATGATCAGATGCCATCACTCAAAGTTTCAGGCACGCTATGGCAGACCATTGTGAAGATCTTGGCCAAAGCATTCAGTTGCTATTAAATTGTTTGAATGAACAAAATTTAGCTGCAAAGCCTGGAGTGAAGGATCAGAACAATTCCATCTCAATAAACTTGGAAAAATCTTTAGAATAAAAACAAGCACACTGGGACCACAGAGGAGGCCCTTGATGCCAAAAGATGAACATCAGCCTCATCTAGACATGGTTCATGAGCACATGTGACATGGCAAGTGAAAGGAGCTGATTGTCCTCATGTCCCCACGACACAACAAGGGGCTCTGAGAGCTTTCTGGGGGAGTAGCCCAGCATATACCAGCCAAGACAGCTGGCCATGGCCACCAACTGGAGCTGCCAGTGGCCACCAACTGCAACCACTGGTGGCCATCAAGCATTTCTGCTCCACAAACCCATAGGGCAACTGGGCTTGGGGCACTGACATGCCTTAGATTTGGGGAAGGATGGGAGAAAAAGCAAATCTAAGGTGAAAAGCAAACCACCTGTACCTTCAGAGAAGTGTTTGTTAACTGAGGCTTACTGACACAAGGGTCTCTTAGGGAAGACCTTCAGCAGAGGGAATACCCAGGAAAACAGTCATTTAAAGGTAAGTAAAAGCACCAGCTCAGGCATGTCACACGGATGTGTAGATATGGGATTAACCCCATTAATGAATTCAATTCTATCCATGACAGTCCAGGAGGCCACATGGGAGGAGCAGGGAAGCAGCTGAAGGTCTGTGCATCCACCACTAGGCATCCAAGGACACAACCAGGGACAACAGGGAGCTCTGCAGCCCTTCTGCACTCCCCACCTCCCTCCAGGTCTGCAAGGACGAGCTGCCACCCCCAACCCCTCCTGCTGTGGCCACTGAGCTGGAGCACATCTCCTTGCAGGGTATCCCCAAGCTCCTAGATCCAGGAGGCTCATCTCTGCCCCAAGGGACAGTCCTGACACAGGCTATGGAGCAGGAGTGGGGATTTGTGATGTTCCCAGGCAGGGTGGCTTGTAAAGGAGAAGGAAAAGCAACAATGACCCAACAGCACAACTCCTCACTTTACTGAAGATTTGTCCTTGTTCTAGTCAGTACGAAAACTGTTCCTTCCCACTAAAATTCCTCTGTGTGTACCAAAGAGCTCCACATCAAACCTCCTGCTCTCTGCTTCCACGGCCCTGCCTTGGCAGGAGAGTTCCACAACTTGTAACAACGTGCAGAATAAAAAAAAAAAAAAAAAAAAAAAAAGAATGAAAAACACCAGAGGTTATTTCTCTGGGATGGGAAGGCTGTGGAGCAGCTTGGGAAAGTCAGCCTGGGGAATGGGGAGGGACTTGAGAGCTACTTTGCTGAGTGCTGTCTAAACCCTTCCCTAGAAAACAGGGGGAAATGGACAAGGCCAGAGTTGAAGGGAGGACCAAGGAGTGATCCCTAACTGCAGGAGGGACAGATGGATGGAGCTGGAGCCAGGCTCAGTCCAGCAAGAGGCATGGGGAACAGGAGGAACCCTGATGCTGAAGAAGCCCCCCCAGCTAGGAGAAAGTACCTCTGAAATGAAAGGGCTGAGCTTGGCCAGAGGTTTTGGGGCAGCACAAGGGTTAAACCCAGTTGTCCAGGTGCCACCTCTCCCCTTGCTCCAGCAGCCAACATTTGCACTCACTTTCTTGGCTACTAAAAGCTTCAGGCTGAAGAGCTACAGAGTTGAGGCACTAAATAGTAGAGTTTAATTATAAACATTTCAGCTAACCAGGCTGGGGCTAAGCCAATCTGTTTCTGGGGGAAACACTAGTTTGAAGTCTTCTACCCAGTCAGCTGCCATTTAAGCTGAGCCAATTATCTTAGCCTTTTGACTCAGATGTGCCTGACCTAACCTGAATGTAGTTTTACTGCTGCTTTGAAATATCAGACTCATGCGCATATGCATTCACTCCCATCTTCATTTGGCAACGGCTCTGAAACAAGCCTCTGATCTTGCCAACATCAAAAGCCTGGTTTGTAAGATAAGGTAATATTTGAAGTTTGCTCAGCAGCATTCCCCTGTGTCCAAAGTAAATCCATAAATAAGATATAAGCAAATAAAAAAAAAATCCCCTTTCCTAATATCAGACTCATGCGCATATGCATTCACTCCCATCTTCATTTGGCAACGGCTCTGAAACAAGCCTCTGATCTTGCCAACATCAAAAGCCTGGTTTGTAAGATAAGGTAATATTTGAAGTTTGCTCAGCAGCATTCCCCTGTGTCCAAAGTAAATCCATAAATAAGATATAAGCAAATAAAAAAAAAATCCCCTTTCCTTTCAATCAAGAAATGGAAATATAAATTTGCATGATGCTTTGTGGCTATTACAAAATATATAGGGACAGGCTGATCCTTGGCATCTGGAATAAAATTAAACAGGCAGATTATGCACTATTGGGAGATTTCTTCTAATTCCAGTGCAGTTCAGATTTAGATTTATTTAGAAAGCCCCAAAACTCACTTTACTGCTATGTCTGACAGACTTTTCCAGAACAAGTTTTTCCTCTTCAGTTGATATATATATATAAGAGAACTAATTTGCACTGGCAGTGATGGAACAGAACAAACCCAGACCCTCTGTTACAGGAGGATAAAACCTCCCAGGCTCAGCACCTGTGCTCAGCAAGAGTGGGTTCATGCCCCCAACACATTCACAGCATCTCCAGCATCCAGCAGAGCCAGGTGCCAGAAGAGCCTGCAAATCCCACCTGCTCCACTGCAACCCTGGCAGCAGCCCCTTCCCCTCTGCAAGGGAACTTTTACATCAACCCAAACTTTCAGCCCAACCTCCCAATCTGCCCATTTACCTCTCCCACTTCCAGAAACACCCAACACCCCAGTGTGCCCACCTGCCCCTGCGGATGGAGCACAGCTTGAGGGATGCTGGAGGGACCAGTTCTGCAGCAGGAACTATTCCTTTCTGCCACCTCCAGCACTCTGCTCCCCCAGGCCTCCCCACTGCCCCCCAACCTGGAGCTGAGGGCAGTTTAATCAGCCAAGCTTCCCCAAACTCTCACAGCCTGCGCAGGCCATTGTTGCAGCAGGAAAAAACAGGCAGCTCCTTTCAGGCTCTGCTTTATGGGGAGCTCCTATTCACTTGTTCAAGCAAATTTCAAAGCAGGCTGCTGCCCTCTCATCCCCGCTAAGCTCCCCTGGACTAACAATGGGCTGAAAGCGATTCAGTTAAGCCTTTCATCCACCATGCACTTTATTTCTCACTCAGTGCTCTCATCTGTATAAGGCCTACAATTGGCATTGCTGTGAAGAGAGGGTATAATCCTAGCCCTGTGAATCCCAAGTGACCCTACACTGGTCCAGAAATGACTAACCCAATGAATGCTCTGTTGACACATGATCACATACAACCAGAGCCAGTAAGAAGAAATAAAGAAGTCACCCTATGATTCAGCTCTTTTATTTAATGCCAATATTGTTCAATAAGGGAATCTGGTGGGACAACAAACTATTTTTTTTCCAGGAATATCAGTTCAAAACACACATGTGCATAAAAAAAAAAACCAGACAAAAAAAAAAAAGCTCTTGTTTATGCATCAAGGATTTTTGGTAAATCCTGTTTTCCGTTGTGCAGCATCACACATGTTGACTTTAAAAACTCAGCCTGCAAACCTCTCTGAGGAGTACACAGGAATCACTGGACACATCTGACAGGGACACTGGAGAAGTGTCACCTACAGATGAAGACCAGGAATGCAGCTCTCTGCTGACAGGTGGGTTTTTCTAGAGCACTTAAATGAAGATCATGAAACACAAACAGCAACATCTGCCTTCTGCTCAGCTGAAGAAAATGGTCCTTAAGAGCACTAAGTGAGCCCTCCTGTCTCCTCTACAGACACAAAAGCACCATTCCTCTCCTGCTGGGGCAAACAAACTGACAAACACTTCTCAGCAGCCAGAAGAGAGATCCTGCAATTCCTGGGCTCAGCCACAGCATCACCTCTCAGCCCTACACTCCTGAAACACCCAGACCTGATCCATGCAGCTCCATTCAAATGGTTCTTTGAAGACTGCCCCAGCCACACTAGACAAGCAGCTATTTGCCCCTTCAGGTCACTGGCCCTATTAATGTACATTTTGACATTAATGATGAGCGTTAATTACAGAAAGTACTTCCTACAGGAAGTAATCTCCTTCTCTTTGATGACTGATAACTGGTTAAGGAAGCCTGGCCTTAAGACAAAGGCTCAGGGAGATATGCTCCTTGGGTTAGTCAGGCAGCACCATTAGCATGGGCAAAACATGTTTGCTCAGCTGCAGTTGCAAAATGGCAAGAGAGGGATTCATGATTTCACTCCATCCGATACCTGCAGCGACGGCAGGAGGAGGGAGGATGCCATGCCCTGCTGCATCTCTTGGTTTGGGCACACACCTCCAGCTCAGCAGTGGACACATCACTCCCCATCAGCACAGGTGACACATCCCAGAAGGCCCAGCCAGCACCAGATACTTACACACTGCTGTCTGTCATGGACATGGAGTCGTCCGTCAGGGCATCGCTAGATATTTCACTGTCGTTCGCGCTGGTCGCTGGGGCAAAAACATAGCCAGAGTTCACGTGGTATGGGTTAACAGGATCATTCCTCTTGAAGGACCTAGGGACAAGCAGAACAGGAACTGAGTTACTAGCCAGTCTTGGGCTTCATGGTAGCACTCATGGGAACCACGTGCTCCATCTCTTTAGAAGCAACCAAACATCCACCGCTCACTCCAGGACATGCTGTTTCCAAACCAGAACACTCTACCTAAAGATACCCAACTTCAAACATGTCACGTCTGTCATTTTCTAAAGTGCTCTACAAAATGCCAGGAAGCACCTCTACATACCTGGATACCTTCAAAAACTTAGTCCTGATGCTGCACTGCTGAGGTCAGCAGGAGTTTTGCTGTTGGCATCAGCAGGGAAAGGACCAAGAAGTTCAAAGCTCAAGTCCCATTGAAAGTCACGAGGAACCAGCTAATGATGCTTAAGTCTGCTCTGAAGACAGGAGTTAGGGCACCTCTGGGAATACAAGTTATTGGTATCTGTGTTGCCTGAAACAAGAGAACTGCCTGGAACTACTGGAGCAGGACCCCCCATGGACAGGGCTGAAATCTGCTGCCCTAGGCTTGGCCTCCCAAAGATGGGTACCACCTTCCTGGCATTATAAATACACATAATAAAAAGGCCCAGTTTTTAGGAGAACCTCCTACTTGTTCAACTTGTGGTTTTGTGCAGAGTTGGGTGGGGAAGACAAGGATGGGGATGTGTACCAACACCTTTGGCTTCACCTGGAGAAGGAAACCCAAAGCCCAAGCAGATGTTTGAGCTGAGCACATAAGAGCAGCTGGGTGAAAAATTCCTGGGCAGTGACATGGGCTGTGATGGAGCATGGCAGGGTCACCACAGGTGGGGACCTGGGCATTCCCTGCCTGCTGCCTCCCAACCCTCCAACTTCCTAGCCAGGATCAATATACATATCTTGGCAGGCAATAAGGGGATTATGCAGGGAGGTTTGAAAGCTGCATGTTAAGGTGCACATTTTGTTCCTCTTCCAGGGCGAGATGGTGTTGTTAAGCTTCTGCCTTTGTATATCAAAGCAAAAGGCCTTGTCATCTGATAAGGACTGCTGATTTCAATAATTAGGGCCACTTACCCAGGACTTGGGGGCCTAAGGAATGTGCCAGCAGGCTCGGCAAGTTTTTTTTTTTTTAATGGGCTTTCCACCTCCCTGACCCCCTGGAGCTGGAGGGACCAGCTGGGTTTAAGTGACAGCAATGTCCTCCCATCACCCCACTCTCCATCCCCATCCCTCACCAGCACCCTGATCCCCCCATTCCGGCTCCACCAACACCATGAACAGGAACTCCACAAAGGCTTAAGTTCAGAAAAAAAAAAGGGGGAAGGGAAAAAAAATATGCAAAAAGGAGGGGGAAGCATGGTGGGGAAGATGGGCCTCTCTGGTATGAGCCTGGCTGCAGGCAGGTATTCAGCCCAGCCGGGGCTGCATTCCTTTCCAAGGAGGCCAAGGCATTTCTGATGGGGAGATCAAGATGTTAAAAAATATATATCTGGGAAGAAGAAGAAGAAGAAGAAAAAAAAAAAAGAGATAGTAAGGAATGCCACAGGAAAGAAGTTAAATCTTCAAAGATAAATTAATTCCACATGTGGGTGAAAGCAAAGTTCTCCCACTACTACTACAAAAAAGTTCCTCTAACAACCAAGTAGTCTTCTACTCTGGTTCAGGGGGATGTGCAGTCATAATGACCCTTCCTAAGTCCTTGGTGGCCTTTTGGGTCAACATGTAAGGGGTGCAGATCTTCTAACTATTTGATTTGAAATCATCTCAGGTCTTGAGAGCGAATCTGAGGACCACAAGGCTCAGGGCTGCAGGACACTCCCCACCACCCTGCTGGGAGGGATGCTCCCCAGCACACTTTGGGAGGACTCTGTCCCCCCTGGTCACATCCAGGAGGGCTCATTTGCCACGTTATCCTTACAGGATTGCTGAAGAGACTGTGGTGGGGGCAGAGGCAGCACATCCATACGGATACAGCACAAGGAGAAGAGGTGTGTCCAAAGATATAATTAGAGAAAGTGGTCAGAACTAACTCAACTTCCCATCAGTCCTGTGCTGCAGCATCATTCACCTAGCAGCACCTCATGGACAATAATAATAATAAACCCAGAAAATAATAAACCCTAAAGTTGACGTATTTTTAAGGTACTCACCCCCCTGCCCCCCCTATCCAACACTGCCCTCCAGAAATCCCCCTCCCCTCTCAGAAAACCAGGCTGGTTTGCTCTGTTTTAATTTCTTTTTCTTTTTAATTTGACCACCTTACTCCAGTAATTGCACCCAGATGCATCAAGTTGCCTGGGAGGGTTTTAAATTCCAGGGAAAGCGGTGGTCTCCTGCCACAGATGCTGCACACACAAACACAGCCCAGCTCCAAACTCAGTGTGCAAAGTGTTTTCAGCTGTCAGGTAACAGTTGCTCTGGAGCTTCAAGGAGAATGTCTGATGTTTCTCAGCCTATTCTTATCTTGATGCGATGACACACAGCATGTAACTCTCTCTCTGCTATGTTAGGCAATGGCCATATCAGAGGTATTATAATGCCATGAAAATTTCAGGGGCTCCTGGTTGTATCCCCTGTTATGAGGGTGCAATTTCAGAGTGTGTGAGGTTTTTTTACTGTCAGACTCTGCTCCTTAGAAATAAAAGCACTCAGGCAACTTAAACCACAGATTTATACACAGACAGGGAAGGAAATCTACAAGGAACATTTGGAGGCAAAGTGAAATCTCATTAAGTATTTTCTTGGGACAAACATCACTGGGCAACAATGGGTTTAAAAACATTTAAAAAAAAAAAAAAAGAAAAACACTCAGACATGCACAAACCTGACCCAAAAAAAAAAGTATATTTTAACACAGCTACGTTAATCACAGCTTCCATGTTCTAATTGTAGAACACTGCTTCGAGCATAGCTTTACAATGGCATCATTTACTTTGATAATTGAAGCCAAACTCGGTTCCAATAACTTCACACACAAGGAGCTGCAGCGTTCAAAGGCCAGGAAGCACTGGGAGCAGGCACAAGGCCATCTGCAAACCCCAGCCCTCCCCAAGCATGGCCAGGCCCACTGATGTTAGAGCTTAATGGGAGGCAGATGAGTCCACCTTGGGCAGAAGGAACTCAGTTACCCGGCGGCACTGCAAAGGAAGAGGCTCTCTCTGTGTACACAAAGTCGTGCGTGATAAATTTAGCAGCGCGTATAAATAATAGCTGGAATTCCTGGAGCATGGGGCCAGGTCCAGCGTGGGGAGGCCAGTTTTAACCACAGCACAGCAGAGAGAGGGGAGGAGAGCTGCTTGGGAAGGACGAGAGGGAGGTGGTTCTGAGTTTCAAATATTCCCTGTATTAGGGCTCCAAATAGACAAGCAGCAGTTTGCATGTTCCTGCTTTCCCAGCCAGGTGCAATCGCTGTGTTTTCACTTGACTTCTCCTGTTCCTGTCCATCACTGATGCTGGAGCTAAAGTCTTTCAACTTGTTCCTGCGGTCTCCTATTTGCTGTGTTTTTGGCCTTGACTCCGTGCCCTGGGATTTCCAGGTGGTCTCCCATCCAAACACCAGGCTGGCCTGAGATCACTCTGCTCCCACCATCAGGTGGGCTCAGCCCAGCACTCCCAGCTTTCTCTGGGATAATCACATTGAAACCCACCGAAGCGAATGGCCAGAAGCCTGCACAGCCCTTCAAAACCAGAACACACTGAGCAGAAATTCCTTAATTCCATCACACACATGAGGAGGGAGGTGTGGTTTGGCCACTCACCAGGAAAAGACTTTGTGCAAGCTTCAGCTCCAATCCTAGACGCGATCCTAAATGCTGAGTGATGAGAGATAACCCATCCATATGCTCATCAGCTCCGAGCACATGCACGCACAAGTGGCTTCACAACTGGATAGCTCGGGGAGGAACTGAGCAGCATCTCAGCTTGACCTCCCTTCTCTCTGCATTGAGATCTCTTGGCCCCATGGAGAGCAAAAGCTCCTGGAAATTCAACAGAAGGTGATCAAAGCAAAACGCACTACCTAATGTCCTAGGAGGGTAGATCTGACATGTGAGGAGCAAGCTGCATTAATCCCTGGACAAAAAAAAAAAAAAAGAAAAGAAAGAGGGGGGGAAAAAAAAAAAAAAAAAGGAAAAAAAGCCCAGCACTAATCAGGCAAGCAGCCACAGCGCTGCAAGAGCTCTCCTGGACAAGGCACATGTGGGTTTAGCAGGGCCTGCAGCTCTGGTAGAACATACAGCCAAGCCCTTCCAGCTCTGAATCCCAACAAAGGCTCAGAGATAAAAGCATCAAACATCCCCCTCCTGGAAAGCCAGCGAAGGGCAGCAGTTCAAACCAAGTTCTGGAGAACAGCAGATGCTCAGGCAGCAACACTCAGGCACAACATGAGGATCCCAAACCCCAAGTCCTCCACTGACCAGCTGCCAGCACTGCCCCCCTGCACAGACCCCCAGCAGGAGGGTCCAGAGGCCACTGGGATGGAGCACATCCCTTCTGTCCACACCACACAGCATCTCCATCCCCTCCACTGCCCAGAGCCTCCAGGACAGGGAGGACCAGAGGCCTCTCTGGCTCTGCAGCATCCTCCAGCCAAAGGGACCCCCCAGTGCCCCAGGGCTCTGCACCAGCAAGCCCAGCACAGCTGGAAGCTCTCGGGGGCAGGAGAGGAGGGTGAGCTCCAGCAAAGCCTCCCCAGGAGAAGCCTGATGCCCTTTGATGTCCATGAATCACAGGCACACTCTCAAAATTCCTGTAAACGAGATGTCAAACACTCACCATACCAACCCCCAGGCTGCCCAGCCGGCGGAGGAGAGCTCACATCTGCAGCAGAGCCCTCTCCTCTCAGCCCTGATTCAACAATCCACATTTATGGCAAGGGTGGGGAGAGCAAAGAATACATTTTCAGAGGATTATACAACTCATCATTTGCTCATCAGAGTCTGTCTTCCCCATCCCCCTCCTCACTTCCAGACGGCTCTCACTTTTCTCACCCTCACAACGGCTGTGCCACCGATATTTCCAACAAAAAGAGAAGGGTTTGGCAACACAGATGCACATCAGGACAAGGGTACGAGGAGATCCTGTCACCACACAACATCCCTGCATCCTCATCAGCTGCCACAAGACACAACCACCTCCTAATGAGTCTAACTTTGGGCTCACAGCTAACATGAGAGCACCAAAGACCTACTGCTCTACACCTGGAATGCCTCTACTACCTTAAATAATCCAATTTTCAGCATCCTCCCCTATACATTGGCTCAAAGCCACCCTAGATGGCTTTGACATGACACCAACACCCAAGGCGATGCAGAGGCTGCACATCACACACAGAGTCAAAATAAAAGCAGATTCTGCCCAAGTTGCAGAGAGTTTGATGCAGTCAGTGCACACATTTCCTCCCCCATGACCACACAATTGCTTCCCACATAACCAATGTCGTTAAACACCGGTTGATGGTGGAGTTGGGGAACCAGTAGGTTACATTATTCATGTGTCTCTATGATCCACTCTACTACTGCTCTTAATAGGTTTGAAAGTTGAACCAATAATTACTGCATGTCCGGAGGACATAGTTGCTATGAAGTTTTTGATCTAGAAGAGAACTGGAAGAGCCAATAGGGCTTCAGAGCACAAGATCTTGTTTTCCTCTGTAGAGAGGGGGAAAAAATCCCCCCACGTTCAAACAACACCCCCCAAATTCCAGCATTTGGAGGTGCTGGGAAGCAGCCGTGCTCCCAGCCCCTCAGGAAGCCCAGCCTGCCTCGATTCCCACCCAACAGCAATGCAAAAAGCACTCCCAAAGTCCTCAAAGTTAAAACAAAGCACAATTTCCAGGGGTTCCCTTACCTGTAGCCATTCTCCATCGTTTCCGTGGCTCTGACATTGGCTGTAACCCTCAACGTCTTGCTGGATAGTCCAACCACCGAAGGCAAGATTTTGTTTTTAAAGTCTGCACAGCTCCATTCCTCTTCTTCATTCAAGGTCGGGAGATAGCCACAGACAACTTTTAAGCTCCCCAGTCCGTTGCTGTTCATGTAAGCAGGATTCTCCCCTCCACTCCGTACGTATTCGAGGTATATATCAGAAGTTAAAAACATCTGGTAAGCATTTTCCTCCATCACAGTCTGAATCTCAGTCTGTGCCTGATCAAACATGATGGAATCTATCTGCTGCTTCTTGATGCTGTCCCTTATGTAGGTTTTGGTAGCAGGCTTGAGCTGCTTGGAGACGATGCTGTTGTTCTCGATGTACCTTTTGTAAATAGCTTTGGCTACTCGCAAAGTTTTGGTATCCTTAAGGTCCATCTGCCTGAAACCATTACAGGCAAACCAGAAATCTAAAGTATCCACACATTTTTCCCTTTCCAGAAAAGTCCGAAAAAGATAGGCACCATCTTGATCTCCTAACAAGGAATGCAAAGATTTGGTCCATCTGGCCAGAGGGGAATCTGGGGATGCGCTGCCCTCCGGTTCACCCAGCCCGTTCTCATTCCTCCGCGGGGCAGGAGGCACCGGCATGGCCTTGAAGCTTTGGTTTTTGGCGAGGAACGAGCTGGCGAGCTGCGGGCATGGTGTTTCTCCTTCCTCCCCAGGGACAGGGGGTCGGGGAGCGTCTTCCCTGAAGCTGCTACTGGGGTCAGGGAGGTGTGCGAGGAGCACTGCGCTGCTCATGGCTCCGCAGCTCCAAAGCAGCTCCCAAAGCCTCCAGGAGCTGCTTCTGCCTCTGCTTGGAGTCAGCAGGGGATCCTCGGAGCCTCCTCTCTGCGA